AAATGTACCTCAATGCCATAAAAAAATTTTAAATTATTATATAAAATATTAAGAAAGAAAATTAAAAAAAAAAAAAAACTAAAGAAGACTATAAATTTAAAGTGATTAAATAAAGAATCAAAGTTTTCTTTTTTGGAGTTTAATAGATAAGGAAATGTTTTAAGAACCCCAATTCCTAATTAATTAAATTTGTCATAAAGTTCATTTAATTATTTAAAATCATATCCTTATTTTTTAAAATCTTTGTATTTAAGTCATAAATATTCTTTCTACATTTGTAAGGATCCTTGAAATTCATATTATAACACAAAATTTTTAACAAATAAAAATTAGAGTACCATATTAAATATTTTTCAAAAGTTTAGGGGGGGGCGGCTGCCCCCCCTTGTCCTTCATTTGCTCCGTCCCTGTCTGTTTTATTACTCTGAGCTTGAGTAGTACTCGTCTTAATTTTCTCGTGGGTCACTCAAGACAGCCAGAGTAATTCCTTCTTGTACATTTTAATATATTTATAATTTTTTTCTTAAACATAATCTTAAGAAAAAATGATGAATTTGATCATCTTTTTTTTCTCTCTCCTTTGATTCAAATTGCAGAAAGAAATATATTTGTTTGGAGGAGTTAGATTTCTCATTATTACCTTTGTTTTCTGAGCCATTAATTGAGCAACATGAATGTTGTAAGCCTTGGTTGATGGTGAGATGTATGAAAGTAAATCATTATTTAAATTCTGTCTACAGAAACCATATCATTGGTGCTGGTGGAAATTGTTCAGTATTTGTTTGTGTTTATATTTTATGAACTTTGATGTAGTGAAAACCTTTAGCGGGTTTCAGTAAATGAGGGTGGATAAATCATATGTTATGAAGTTTTTAAGTATTTTTAAGTCTTATTTTTTATGCTATTTGGTCTCTTGGTAGAATGGGAATTTTTTTTGAATTAACATTTCAATGAGTTTGTGTACAAGTTGTAGTGAAATCAAAATTGCATGCTATATAGAATTATGAAAAAAACATTCAACTTTAAGCATCAATTGTAGTTGATAGTGAAATTAGAAATCTACTTAACATTAAATGAGTGAATCATGTTTTATGTAGTAGTACTGACCTTTGCTAAGTTTCTACCCTTCTTCTCTGTAGGGACCTGCTCAAGCTCAGAATTTAAGGGATTCCCTTGTTGAAGCAAAATCTGATATTGTGGTTAAGGTAATTAACTTCCTTTGTTCTCATAATTTATTTGTAATACTTTCTTTGGCTTTAGCAGGTTAATAAAATGCTTAAATGCTGTGATCTGACTGTTTTCATAGATCTGACTTCGTTTTTTTGTTTCACTAACTTTTTACTACAGATTGGACTTAGGAAGGGCTCTCGTTCATTTTCTGAAGCTCGTGCTGCTGGTTTTACTGAAGAGAATGGGACTTTGGGTGATATATGGGAAACTGTTTCTGGCAGCGATCTTGTGTTGCTATTGATTTCTGATGCTGCACAGGTTCATTAAATATATTCTTGAATTTTGTTAATGAAAATGTTTCACATTACAGTGTTTTCTATGACTTGAGTGATACTATATAATTTATTTCAATGTGCAGGCAGACAATTATGAGAAGGTGTTCTCTCACATGAAACCAAACAGCATACTTGGGCTTTCCCATGGCTTTCTTCTTGGCCATTTGCAGTCAATGGGGCTTGATTTTCCAAAGAACATCAGTGTAATTGCTGTATGCCCCAAAGGTATGGGACCATCCGTGAGGAGGCTTTATGTCCAAGGCAAAGAGATAAATGGTGCTGGAATTAATTCGAGTTTTGCAGTCCACCAGGTCTTCTCTCCCT